CACCTGAAGATGTCACCTGTATTACTGTTGAGGTATCATCAATTGTTATCAATACCAAGAGGCGAGGGTATGATCGCCCAGCACTGACCTATTATAAACATCAATAAACTGCCGCCATTATACCATCACACAGTACACGCAGGCCCAAGATAACCCAACAGTCTTTTTTTACCACAGGGATAACTACATCTCAATTTATCTTGTATACATCTGACGAACCAGTAACAAGCCACACAATCTGACGTCTTTCTTGCATTGCGGGCAGTGCATGCGTCTCGATCATGTAGGGCTACTTTTCTATGTCTGCTGATTGCTGCACAAATTTGCTGTGTACCGCATACTGGGTGTAAGAGCACAGCATGGGCATACATTGCATAATGATTTCTTTGCGATGCATGCAGCGACTGCGAAATGCAACTGCATGCAGATGCATGATACACTAGCAGCACTGCATCAGCTCCAAGTGAGCTTTTCAGAGATGCTGGCATTTTGAGAGCGACACAGGACCCCACACAGACCTTCTCCCATTCACGTCACACACATACACATATCTTACACACACCAACACACACACAAACACACACACATACGCATGTAAGGCATTCACAGGTATGCGCCAACTAGCACTGACGCACATCACACTCGGCATGCACAGCCCATCACATGCAGTATAAATTACTCCCAATCCCCTAGCATTGTACGTGCATGTATACTCATGGGTTTGCACCACTTAATAACTGAAATGCCAGGCAATTAATACTGCACATAATGATTATAAATACACACATGATCATGCTCCACATATCATTGACAAGGACAAGCTTTCAATAGCTCCTGGCTGTAACGTGGAAAGCTTTCAAATTTTAACACATACAAACCCTAATAAAACTCTTATCAAATGACAGCTTTATAATTGAACATGTTCAATGAAAAACCCTCTAGTAATCACATTTTTTCTATTCATCCCCCCCCCCCCCGATCATTTCAACTATGACTGAAAGATGAATCTAATTAGATTCACTTTTTATGAAACTCAGGAATCTGTGTCACTCGATACCAAATTTTTCTCACTACTAGATGTGTCAGCAATATTTCAGCAATTTTCCTATGTGTAAACAGTTACGGTTGCTTCATTTGAATGCATTGACATGAAGACATCTATTACATGTATGTCCTTTTCTATTTCAATGTCATCTGGCATCTGAAAGAGTTTGAAAAGAGAGAATGTGAACCTCCACTGTACATGAATTGACTGCACTACATGTAAAGTATGCTGATGACTATCATCATCATCATCATCCCAAGATGTGAACCTACTCTATGTCAAATTGCTGATCATACAAACCACTTTGATCAATAAATGATCAAACCACTTTGTAAATCAATATTTTTCTTAACGAATACAGTACCGAAATGTAATTCAGCAAGAATTTGTATAATTCTGTAGACTATATTAGTCCATTAAAAATATATATATGTTTAGCGTCCTGCCTTTTTGAAAAATAGGGAGGAGGAGGCCCTTTTTTTTCTCCTTCAAAATGGCCGCTCGGTACATTTTTCTGGACGTCCAGCCAGTCCGGCTATTTTTCAAGATGGACGCCAGCATTTGCTTTATTTTTTGTTAAATCAGAAAAAGATCATTTTAGCAGTATGTTTTTTCATTATAAAAAAAAAATGGGTAAAAAAAGAAGATGCGTTGTGGAATTGGTTTACAAGATAGATGGTCCTAAGCATGCATGTTATATTATTATTATTGGTAGCAGTATTATTGACTGCAAGGACCAATTTGTTGCATAATCATATCTTCACTCTCAAACAATATCTGAAGAATTTGACAATGTTTGTTTTTTAATGTTAAGTTTTCATTTATTAAAAAGCAAGACAAAATACCTTCAATTTTTAGTAAGAATGCCTTTGTCATAATATAATGTAAGACATTAGAGCTTTGCATGACTCAAAAACCACAGATACCATCACAACTAGATAACACAAGTGATTTCCAAGAAAGTCCACATGTTTGTCATCTACCATTACATTTATAACCACCTTCAATGATTCTTAAATATCCAGCAAAGTCAAAGTTAATTGTAAATTAAGTAGGGCCCCTTTTTGCCCAGGGGGACTAAGGAAACTGGGTGTCCTTGTCCAAGAGATCCCCATTTGGTCTCTCTCTCTCTCTACATATATCATGTGCTCAGATCAAGAAAGGCACTAACTCATTCACTTTACACTCTTTCTGGCACTCTACAGACAATTATACCAGAATTTTTGTAATGTCCAACCTTACATAAATGCAAAGATTTTCGTGGCCTCTATAATCTTCTTTTCTTTGAAATAAAACATGAAAAAATGAAGCCTGTTTAATGCCCTCCATAGACAATAATCAATTCCAGCTCAATTTAAGCTCAAGAATGAAAGTTTAAGTCCAAGATCAATACCTTAAAGTCCCCTCCCTATCATGGTGTCTAAAAGGGAAACCTAATCTGATAGACTAACAATCAGGGTACACACCCATTCACACAAAAGGCATGGTCTGGGCTGAGTAAAAGGCATGGACCTATTGATAACTGGTACTTTTTATTAGCTCCACACTCCAATGAGCCGATCTTCCCCTTTGAACCCTAAGGTTTTATTTGTTTTTCCTCTGCATTATCTCGGCCAAATCAATAAGAGGATTAGCCTTTGGTCTGTGATAGCCACACTGATTCCAGAAGCCTACTATGTCCTTATGAACTTTTATCAATTATCAGGTACCCACTATAGGCCTTGTTTTATTGCAGGACTATTAAATAGGTGAGTGGGAGGTGGCCTTAGTGATTGGATTTGGGTTTAATAGTGGGACAAATAAGTTCAATTTGCTAGCTGGAACAATGCAATCGGTAAAGTGGATGACCACCAATCTAGCTTGTTACAGGGATTACATGCATATCCCAATTCACTGCACATGTTCAGTTCGTTAGTAGTTTTACTATGCCTGGCAAGCTGCAGAAGCTGGTATACAGTTTGAAGATTTGGGCAATGAATATGGGCAATGATGAAATTCTTTATTCAAAACTAATTTGATAACATTTCCTGCCTAATTCTAGTGATTCTGTCTAGCTTGAATGTTATATCCTGGATAAGTATTAACACTTTACTAAACTAGAGTACAAATGATGTAACCACAATTACAATTTTTACAGCGAGTCCTGATTGAAATCCTAACTAAGGTCTGTATGCACGGATTCCTGATTTAATTTCTCAAGGTTGGGGCATCCAAAGTTCAAATTATTGGGCCTACGTGTATGTATGTGATCTGGACCCTACCTAAGTGTTAAGCCTTGCCTACATGAGATTTTACAAATGCCCAACAAAATTAATGGAACACAACTCTCTTTTCACATTAGTATAAACAATGCTATTTTAAAGCAAATTAGTCCCAACATTTTTAATGTAACCCAATCAACAGAAACCAAATGAAACTAAATCTAAGTCGAATTTAGAAAATTTGAATGCAAGTACTGGTATTCAAAAATCCATGAAAGCGCATTACGAGTCTCTGACCACAAAGTTATGTGTCATTCTGGTTGCACAAAGTTGACCAGGATATGGTCAAGTCACTTCCAATCTACTGTTCTTCTCAACTTGCATACAATACATGTACAGTGTACATGGATTATGGACCTCTTGTAATCCTTTGAGACCCCAAAATATATTGCTACACGTAAAAATAAACCTTATGACATGTTACAAGATGGTAGGAATCATGAGTCTGGCATCGCTTGCTCCCACATTGTAGGAAAGTGCTACAGTACAATCGCATCAAGTGCAAGGTCATTTGACTACAACTTTTCAAATGTAAAACTTTTTTTTTTTAATCAATAATGTCATGAATCTTTTGTAATCCTGACACAAACAGGACAGGAGCGTGCACCCTAGGACACCAGAACTTACAAGTAGGAAAGAAGATGAAGGAAAGTATTTTGCATTATGTTTAGGCACACTTGCATTCTTTTCTCCCTCTCTCTCTCTCTCTCTCTCTCTCTCTCTCTCTCTCTCTCTCTCTCTCTCTCTCTCTCTCTCTCTTTTATTGGGGGGGGGGGGGGTAAGGGGGATCAAGAATTAGATCAAAGTACACAACTTTATCCAGCCACATGATAGAGTCAAAGGTCAAGAACCACAGAGAAGGGGGAGGGGTGACCCCTGATCTGAAAAACAAAAGAGCCAAAAGCCAAAAACGAGGTTCCCCAGAAACAGTGAATAGCTAAAATATTGTTTGACAAAACTGTCGGATATACAAGTTTGCTGACACACTATTGAAACAGTTAATTTTTATACATGTTCTGATGCCATGGGATGTCTAGGATTAGGAATTAGGAATGGGATGTCTGTAAGCTTGTTCAGTGAAACCATACTAAAACAATTTTTTTTTTCTTCCAATGAAACTTTGCCCTCTTAATTTTATCATCTTATGAAACTTATTGTTTGCATCCTGACTTGACAAAATTGGTGAAGACTAAAGGAAATGACCGCTTATTACAAATTCAATTCACCTCCACTCTCACTCACCACTCGCCCATTCACTTGTCCATGGAACAAATTGGAATAATAATCATGATCTAGTTCTATCTAGGTCTATATAGTTTAGTACATGATTAGTACTAGATCTACATCAAACATGATGTAGTCCGACACCTCTTCATTCTTGATTCATATTTTGATCAGCGACTGATACAGAGTGTGACGAGTGTGTGTGAACATTTTCATCACTCACGATCCTGCTCATAATTCACAATCACATTTTCATTGAATCTAAATTATCTTACGGATAAGAAATCATCCTCCTTTCTATCTCAATTAGTCTACCACACAAATCAGCAACGCAATGCACATGTTAAAATCTATGATAGGCCTAGCCTACACCACAATCTTACATAATCAGTCTCGTATTACAAAAATAATTCAACGTGCAAGAACCACAGACTAGCGCTATCTACGCAAACAAGGCAACGGAAATTTACCCCAGCTACTCCCTCCTCTGCCGAGAAATTCCCTCGTTTCGCTGTTCCAAAGAAAATGTTTGAACCCGCTCCATCTTTCTGACATTCGCTGCCCGAAAGTTGTATCGTCATCACCGCCCATTTTGATGTATTTCAATATTGATAATTATAAGATGAAGCCGGAGAACGAGATATTCGACTCTCTGCACGTCCAGATAGCTAGCGGAGTGAAGGTAAAAAGAGTACGGCAATTTGCACGCGTTCTCGCTGTACGACCGTCTATGGAATATCCCATAGAGAGCGAAAATTTGCCGGTCAATTTTCTATCCTTTGCACACGTTACCCGCGCATACCGCGTGCGTGCCCGCTTCATAGGATGACGTCATTTATGAAAAGCAGGCTAAAGGTTAGTGCTATCGCTAGCTGGCGCTGTAGAAAACGCAATCAAAACAACAGATAGTTGCGACTATACCATAGAGATATTATTAATATATATCTCTATGGGCTATACATAATTGTAGAATTGATTGATTGATTGATTGATTGATTGATTTTTATTCGACAAGTTTTCAACAGCTTGAAGTCAGCTTGAACTGGATACTTACGAAAGCTCAAGAGCTTATTTCCAGTGGGGTCCCCTACAAACATGTACAAAATTAACTAGTTAAAATAGTAAAATGTACAGACAGATAATAAAAACAAAAATAATTAGAAATGATAATAAGTGGGAGAAGAAAAAGAAGAAGGAGAAGAAGAACGAGCTATTATTATTATTATTATTATTAAGTGGACGAGGAAGAAAGGGAAAATAAAGATGAATTTCTAGAATTTATAGAACGTACACAAACATAAGTATATACAAAATGAAAAAGTATGAACCGGCAGAAGAATACAAATTTCAATCATATAACATGCATGTCATTCACTTCTCTCCTCTGACTCTCAGGTATTAGGTATTACTTTAATTTCCTCTTAAAATTAGCATAGTTTTCTAGAAAGAAAAAATATTGATAACAAAAATTAATGTATAATATTATGACGATTTTTTCGGGGATTTTTTCAAGATGGAAACTATCTAACATCGATTCCTTTATACATTTATAGGCCTACTTATAGTTATTATTATTCATTAGGAAACAAAGTTTGAACAAGCATTCAACGTAGTCTGGTCCAGCGTTTTTCATCCGGGGTGCCGCAAGCAATATCTACGGCAGTACGGGGTACGTGCGGCGAGAGAATATTAATTATACATGTACAATATATATTTTTCGCTCGCATGCTTTATTATATAGGCCTACACGACGATTTATGCCAGCGAAGGGCCTGAATTCCTCCATTTTGAGCAACGGGGTGCCCAAATATATTTGACAGCGAGGTGCCCATAATTTGCGTATTATATCTTTTATGTCGAAATTAAATTTTTAATCACGTTCATTCGCTTAATTCTGTTAGACATTCTGGCCCGGACATTTGGAATAATTTTCCCGACAACATAAAGTCTTGTTCAACCATCTCATCCTTAAAAGCTATAAACGACAAATAATACAATCATACGCTCCCCACTCTTTATATTAGTATAATAAAACCGTGGCTTATTTTATTCTTTATCATGCAACTGTTTACTGCACCTGCACTTGCACTGTACCACTTGATCCCTCAGTTTTCCTTATAATAGAGTTATGTCGCCAATTCTTTTTTTTTATGAGACCGCCATCCCCCCCCCCCCCCCACACTCAAGGGTCGGAGGGGCCGCATGCGTGTTCCCAAAATGTCCGGTAAAGGGAGGGGTACTTTTCAGGCACCAAAGTCCGGCTCGAGGTACACACAAATCCGGCCCGTATTGACTTTACACACCGGACTTAGGAGTGTGTTTTCAAAAGGAGCCTGGATGCATATACGCGTACCCTAAATAACACTGCGTGGGGGGGGGGGGGGGGGGGGGGGGGGGGGGGGACCGCCATCCAATGGGACATCTCGATCCAACCTAACCGCTCACGATGTTGGTCTCCTGCGTTCTAAATTACCTCTCTAATTTATTGGAAAATATTTCATATTTCTTATCTTATTTGTATGCTGCGTACATGTATATTGTATGATTATTGTACATGATTTTCTATTTTGATAATTACTCTTGTAAACATTTTATTCATTGTATTTGTTAATGTTCGAGTTTTTGTACTTTGAATTTGTATCTTTTTGAACGCAGATATAAAATCAATCAAACAAACAAACACAATTTTACTCGCTCGTAACATTTAGAACCGGGGTATTTTTGGGCATTGAGATACCCAAATCTCCTAATAATTCGAATTGTACACACATACGGCAGCGAGGTGCCATTTTATCTAATGTGTTGGTTCTAAAGTAAAATTAATTGTCTTTAATTTTTGCTCGCTCTCAAAAAATTAGAAACAAATGTGCCTTGTAGCCTATACATGGCACGTGAGGAGTGTCAGAGTGTTACAAACGAATCTTAAAACCTTAAAACTAAAAGGATGCCGTGACTAAAAAATATTTTAAAAAGCTGGTAAAGGTATACACACACAATCAAACAACCAAGAAAAAAGTGGGGGTTAGGGGTAGGCGCCCAACTCTCTTCAATTAAATTTGCTAAACGGTACTTTTTTGCTGTGTTTCCATGTCAGAATGTGTGTAGACACAAGATCGCTAAACCGTAGACATCTCTTTGTTGAATACCGGTAATGATCTTTTCAAGTTCTAAATTTTAGAGAATGATGATTTTGTGAATTTACTTTTGCCATTAAGTTGTTAATTGTTCTTTAATCATATTCTAAGTGAAACGTATAAAGATCACAAACTTTGCTGTTCAAAATATATGCTTCTCGATAATTTCAATTTCTTTTTACGAAGGGCCGGATGCAGCCACCTCCCCGCCTCCTATGCCTGTGATTGCCATACACAAAATCCTCACAGCGGTAGATGGGGAGGGATAAGGGGTGGTATAATCATCCAAAATATATAGTACATCGAGCAGTGTGTTTGGAACTTTTGGAATCTACCGTATGCATTTATTTTTGATCTGTATTTTACTTGCTTTTTTTTTTTTTTATTAATTATGTGAAACATTTCCTGAATATCAGTGTCCTTGAATTATTTTTGGTTAAATGCTTTTTCCTTTCATCCTTCTTCTTTATCGTCTCATCGAACCAATATTCTTCCAGTCTTTTAGTAGCCTAGGCCTATCCGATATCCGTCGGGCAAGTATACTAATTTATACCAATAAATAAAATAAATCAAATCGCCTGTATTTACTACACTGTACATTAATGGACAAAAGATGGCGCTAGACCAATTCTGACTGAATGAGATGATGGGTGATACACAACGCGCTTGCATCCCGCCTCCTCCCCCGTTTTGTTTGTTTTAGTTTTTAGATTTTGGTTGGACATTGTCTGCAATTTCGTGTCATACAATTATTTTGTGATTACTATTATTACTATTGCGTTCTTGAATTGAATTCTCGGGCTTGTAAACCCCAGGCAATATCTTCACGATCCACCGAGGCCGAGGACTCAAAACAAAAACCGACGAAGTGCGGCGTCGCATAAACAGAGCATAAAGTTCGAATTATTGCCGCCGGCTTTATAAAGCTTAGACAATCATGCAGGAAATGACTCTTGGTAATTACCGATTCGATGCATTTCTGTGGCGGATCCAGAATTCTTTTACCGGGGGTGGGTAGGCTCGGGAAAATATTTGTTGTGACTTTAACTTAAAATAACTAAAATAAAACGTTTTGAAAATACTATCATGTCTAAAAGAAATCGAGTGATCACTGACATCACTCCTCTGGAGAGTGAAAATGTAGTGAAAATAGAGTGAACATTCACTCTTTTCTTTTTAGAGAGCACTCGAAAATCAATCGATATTCACTCCTAAACAAGACTAGTGATCCCTGACGTCACTCCCAAGAAAGTGAAAGAGTGAAAATTCACTCTCTTTTTTTAGAGAGCCGGCACCTCTGTAGTCCAGAATCTGCACGGTCCTTTATAATTTCCCTACACACTGATTCAAGCCGTCGAAGGTGGCGTTATCAACAAACTCATAATTATGCTCACCAGCCCACTGATCTCTACGTAGAGATCAGTGCACCAGCCCAGCCTTTTTTCGCCGGGCGTCCTAATTTAATGATCACGCCATCATCGGCTGGTAGCAAGTAAGTAGGGAGAGGTAGGGTTGGTGTGGTGGAGATCAAAATTAAATAGGCCAGAATCTGGACTAGCACCTCTGTTGTAAAGAGTCACAGCGCGGAAAGGCCACGACTCCACTAGTCACAACTCAGAGCCTTATAGACTCGATTTAAATCGCTGCTCGGAAAGACTCGGATCGAATCAGGGACTCGAACCCGGCTCCACTGAATCGAATCGACTCGGACTCAAGCTTGGAATTTAATGTAGGCTTACCAATAATTATCTCCCAATGTGAAATAGTGCCTTTAATTCTTCTATACTGTACCTCAAAATCAACTACTATGAAAGACCACAGATTAAACAGCATAGAAAGTTATTTTTGTTCTATAATGATAGAATGATTATTCAATATTGCTTTCGACTTTGCAAACATAATAACAAAACATATATATAAATATACATACATAATATAAACAATTTAATTTTTAAAAAGATATATATAAAATCGATTATACAGGACATGGTGTACAGAAAGAAAAAAAATTAAAGCAACATAATGAAAGCTTTTTGACGGACGACTCAAAATCTAAATAGGGAGGGGGTCAGAATGGTAGATCCAATCAGCAAACTGCTAAATACAAAATTAATTCAGGAATATAATCATACAACGTTTTATTGTCACCTCTCGGTTGTAGCAATGTTAATTAAAAAACTAAATTCTTGCCGGAGCCACCCCCAATAAAAAATAAAATGTTAAATTGGCTTTAATTCTCTTACTCTACCTCCAAATCAACCACTGTGAAAGACCACAGAGTAAACAGCTATGAGAACTATTTTACGGATGATTGGGGCAATGAGGAACCACCGTGTGAAAGCAAAATACTCATAAACGTTTAATATTCGTCACAAATTACTGTTCCGGAACAAAAAGCATGGAATGAATGGCGAGATTAGCTTGATAAGAAACGTGTGTATAGATTGGTGTAGATATATTTTTATGTACAGTTATACACAAGTGGATTAAATCAAAAACTATACTGTGTCAAATTGTGTGTGTTTAGATAAGGGAGAGATGGCTGATTCATACAAAAAAAAGTACAATTTCATATTGTTGTACTGTCATAGTATAATATTGCT